AGAGAAGAGGGAATATTTTAAAAATTTAAATAAAACTTACAACCAAGTATTTTAAAAGGGTAACAGTGTGCCAAGTAATTTGCTTTTTGTATAAAACATTAAAAGAAAAACGAACTGAAATATACTCAAATATATTTTTGAGATAGTAGTATTACCCCTTGTATGCTATCTTTCCCAGCTTTAACGTTGTTCTATTTTGTTTAAAAGTGAAAGATTTAAATACACAACTCCTCAAGACTTGCCTACACAAGTTTGCCAAAAGCAAAAAGGCAGCTCTCCATTTTTAAGTCCAGCTTTCATTGTTGAGATTATTCTTGGGACTGAGATATAGGCGACATCAGGTTGCATTACGCAAAGTCCAAGTCACTTGTTTACTGTCTTAGGGTGTTGGTTGTTTGGGTGGGGTTTGGCAGGTAAAGTTAAACATACATGTTGTGCTTCCCCCATTTCACTCTTCCCTGTACATGGCAAAGTGACAAGCCCTCTAGATACTTCAGAGATGAGGAGTTTGAGATCAATGTTTAGTTCCTCGCAGCTTCCAACAAATGCAGAGAGCTCAATAACCAAATTAAAAAAACCCTTAAAGTAGCAGCAAGAAAGTATCAAGCCAAACATACAAACAACTGAAATTCACAGGAAAGAGGACCTTACTGAAGGCAAGAGAAAGACCACAAACAGAAAGAAATCAGAGATCACATTTCTTTTCCTTCCCTGAAAGGAAACAAGTAGTGAATTCTTCTTAGCTCTTAACTAATACTACACCATCCTAAAAAAGTCATTTCAAATTACTTGAAAGGAAGTAAGGATTAAAACCAGCAAAGTCAGCAAGAAATCAACTAACCTTAGGTAACTACCCACAACTAGAGAGTCAAGTAATTCCAAAGCTTGGAAGTCTATATTAATCCATCCAAAGGCAGAACTCTATTTTGCCAAATACAGTTGAAACCATGTTAAGTACAATGACGACGATACAAGAGAGCCACCTCAAATTATGCTGAAAATGAACAAACAAACACTTTCCTACAAAATTACTGTTTAACAAACTTGTTTGTAAAGTCTTAAGATGTTTGGTGCAAAGTCCACGTACTCCAGAGGGTACAAGTGTATCATTAACTGTAATTTAAAAAAAAAAACAAAAACAAACTTTGCAGGTAATTCAATTAACAAAAATAGCCACAGAAGATGAGAAAGTGTGAATGCCAAAACACTAATATGCAGTAAATGGAGTTGATGGAATAGCAAGTCTCAGCTATTTAAAATTAAGAACACAGCTTCTACCAATATGGAAACATGGAATTATTTGATACAGCATAATTAGACTCCATTTCCACTGCTCTCCCCTGAATGGAATCCCAGACTGAAGCCCAACATTTACACTGGATCAATCATGTCCACAGGCTGCAGTAATTAATACTTTATGAAGAGTCAAGATTTTTTTATTATTATTATTTTTAAGTCTACAAACTTAGGTGTTTACCTCCTTTTGAGCAATGCCCATTCTGTCCCTCCAGTGCATCAACACCAGATCTACTTTTTCTTTGGCAAATTTTTCTACTTCTTTTGCAGCTTTTCCAGCCAGTCTCTGCCACTCCGGCACTTTATTAAATTTGCCATACTGATCCTATAGAATAGAACCAATCAGAAACTCGTGGTTAAGATTACAAATCACTCTGAGGAATGTTAAAAAAGGGAGGGGAGGAAGGGGAAAGACTACATCAGTATTATTTTTTAATCTGCAAGAGCCAGACTTCACACAATCCATTAAGCTTAAAAAGGAACTGGAAAAAAGATCTCTTCACCATTCAAAAACATGGGAGAAGTGGGGAGTAGGGGTGGAGGCAACGCAAGGAGAAATATGGGAACTTTTCCCTACTTACAGTTGCAATTTTTAAGTTGTCCCTAACATGCATCCGATCAGCGTCTCTCTCAGGAACAGAATCAGCACTGTCCAGGTATGCCAGCAAACCTGGGGGCTAAAGCCATTAAAAACCAAATCTGAAATCATGTTTCTCAATGATTAAGTAAAACATAATACAATGCAAGGAATGTTTACCACTTACTCTAGAAGAACATTTGGGTTTGATTTTACCACCCAAGGTTAGGCTGTGCCAGAATTAAAGGTTGGGATGGGTTAGAAAAAGACTTGGTTTCCCTTGGGCATGTTCACAAGTTACTTCCCCTACAGAACCACCCCTTTGATGTCCAAAACATCTAGGTTAAGCAACAAACTTGCTTTCTAGTTTAAGTTAGAGATGAATGCTGTGGGCAAAAAAAAAAGTTGTACAGTGAGATAGGCAGAGACTTAAGTGCAGTGAAGCCAGCCTGGAACACTAGGTTGTTTGTACATCTTCCACAGAACTCTTCAAAATGATATTTTCCAGAGGTTTAAGCTTGGTTTTAATAGATAAAATTATTATGGAAAGACCAGAAAACCCTTTGGCATTAAGACAGTCTACCTTGCCTTTCAAATCCTAGAATTTTCATGCTGAATGCTTTAAGAATTAGTGGGATAACTTGCCCAAGAGGAAAGATGAGGAGGAAAAAAAAACCCACCACAAATCAACTCTTCAGCACAACTGAAAACTCTAAATGAAACTTAAGCATATGTCCCCCCTTGCTGCGTGGAATATTTCTCATGCCGTGTATACACCCAGCATGTTTTAAGTTTGCCAGAATCATCAGTAATTGAAGACTAAAAGAAGAATAGTTAAGTCTGCCTTGGTTGGTCCCGTTTCAAGTCATCTCTTACGCTGCGCTCCCATAATATCCAAGTATCTTCCAGATTACAATCTACTACAAGCAGCAAGAGGCAAGAGCTCCATTCACAAGCTATGGCTTTGGAAGCCTACTCAGGACTGAGGTACTGGCTTAGATAACTATACTACCATATTCCCCTTCCTTTCAAAAAAGGGATTTCCTTAGTATGGGGAAATAAAGTTAGTTACTACAATATTTAAAATGCTTTTTAGTCTATTTTATCTATTTAAAAACAAAACATACACCAAGGTTTGCTAGCATCCTTACCTTGTTAGACCTTCCCTTCCCCATATTAGTTTTACTCCCGTATCTGTTCAATTGTAGATAATCTCTAAATTGGTTTGGAGCTTTTGTCCTTTTCATGCCCCCTTAACTGGAGAATGGGATCCAGTGTAAGACCAAAAGATCCTCTTATCTTAAGCCCCCCAAAACCCCACACCTTACTCCCAGCCTACTTTCCAATTAAGACAGTACACGTATACCCCCTTCCCACTCCTTATTCTGCTAGAAAATTCACTTTTCCATTCAAGCTCCTGCTTATTCTGCAACTGATCTCTTTATTGACTCGCTTAAAAAAAAATTATATTATATATATAAAAATCACAACTCCTTGTATGAAATAGGTATTCAAGTTTAACAGGCTCTTCTTTATCCCCACCCTTCCCAAAAACTCTTCCCACCCTCCAGCCAGTCTGTTTTAATGCACACGTGAATTAAGACAGAGGCTATGCAGGCATCTTTGTACAACAAGGGGGAAAGCATTTTAGAATAAAATATAAAAAGTTTAGGATACTCTTCAACACCATCACCAAATAGTTTGTAAGCAGTTCCCTTACCAAAATTCGTTTCAACAAGTTCATAGCAGTTGCATTTTCAGCTGTCCAAAGGCCCACTAAATGTCTACTTAGCTGCCTGAAATACATTAAGAATTAATAAAGGCTTTAACCATTTTTGAAACAGTACCATAATGTCAAGATGACATGCTGTCACATTCAAATACCAAGATGATTATTAGCATTCAATACCAATATATGGGGCAGAGAGAAGATTTTGTTACCAACTTAGACATTTGTTTCCAAGGGAAGCACCACACTCAAAAAAGACATTTAGCATCTATTAAGTTAAGCATGTTTAGTTGGAGCTTTTAAAATAAAGCAAAAAAGACACCCAACATTTTCCTGAATCCTTCCAAAGGAAAACTTCGCTGATTTATTGCAAAAATCATCTTCTCTACTAGCAATGCGGTTTTTTTCTACTCAGTTATCCAAGCACTAGTTCTAAACTATGACAAGAAGTTTCAAACTCATCCTGGGAGCTTGCAACTGTAAACTGGATTAACTGCCCCGCCCCCTGCTCTCCCATTCTGCAGACAATGATTTTCCTGTATTAGCCTACCTCAGGTTTCCAGAAGAGGTAAAGTTAAACTGCCAGTGGCCTCTGATCATTAAGACTACATTGCTTCAAAGAACGAGTAAGTTACAAAATCTGGTGTTAAATCTTTTGACTTAAAGTATACAGGACTGCTAGATAAGCACCAGGAAAAGAGCTACAAATTATGTCATTTGCTTAGTTAAATATGTAAACTAAATTTAAAAGCTTTAAAACACTTGCAGTGTGCCTACCTCTAAAGAATAAAACTAAAGTGGAAGCTCCTCTTAGAATTGTGGAAAGTTTCACCTGGAAGACAAACTTACCTATTTGTAAGCATCCTTTGATCTGTGCTAACTGTAAACATAGCAGTATGCAAGTGACGAGGTAAGGCACCTTCACTGAGGGCAAGATCTTGCATTTTGGTAGCAATTTCTTTATCTCCTTCCTTAGAAAACAAAGAAAGACTATTACTGTAGCAAGGAGTTGCTCAGCTGTTTTCTTTAGACTATACAATTCATTAAGATGCCATTTCTCTTGACAGATGTATGATTTTGTACAATTCTAAAAAACAGGTAAGAGCTATGCAAGGAGGATCTCAAACCGTCTTCAAGTGACTTCTCTGCTGCAGTAAGGCTAAGAGCTCTAGTCAAGTCATAGCAACAGAGCTACCCCAACCCACTCCAAGCACTTAAAAGAAATGCCATGTCTAGAGTACGATTAGTCTTAAGAGACATAAAATTAAATGTATATAAAGCCAAGTTCGAGGGAAACACCACATCCTTTTGTGACCTCAGTTACCATCTATGGATTTAGACTAAAATTGTCCTTAAAAAGATCAGCTGAATTAGTTAAGACTACCTAAAAGAAACATTCTACTTGACCTTCGAAAATAGAACTGTTTACTGGTAATCCAGAATAAAATTCAGTCTATTTCCTTGTAGAAATAGATTGCAGCAGAAGTGTTAGAAGTGGTTTACTATTGTAGTGATGCAAGCACAATATCCACCATTTGATCCCATCTATGCATACAACTGACTGTATAAGAGACTTAGTGGCATTACAGCTTCTTCCTATATTTGCCATGAACATGCCAGTCAGCTCTTAAAATTTAGAGAAACTTCAAATAGAAATGATTATGCATTGCCGTTATTATATCAGGTAAGCCTAACAAACTGACAGAGCAGTTTTGTTGCACACAAGTGTTTCAAGTTGTTGTCAATTTAAAATCCCAAAATTTAGACAGTCTAAAAAAAAAGTCTCCAGTAATTTGCAGCTAAACTCTTGTAATACTAAATTTGTTGCCTACATCCATCTACTCCATCCGATAGACATTTCAGTTCTTAAAAGAATGGCACTAACAGCTGTATACCAGCTATTACAAAACTGAGAAATTTACCCCAAGAGTGTGCTGAAATTGATTATTTACATTTTAAAAGCAAAGGCCCATTTGAAAGCTCAGTGAAGCCCACTTGACAGTTAGCATGCTATTCCCAGTGGCCTTTAACCACCCCCTGCTACCCCACCAAGTCTCACCTCTATTATTGCCTTCATTACCAAGCCAGCTCCTTTTACAATTGCCATGGAAGGATGCTACAAAAAGAGAGTTATAAAATTAGTATGAAATATTATATAAAAACTTAAGATTTTTTTTGGTTAATGAAAGTGGATAACTTGGATATTAGCAACTGGTATCCAGCTGTACCAAATGTAATCTATAGTTCTTTGGGGAAAAAAAAAAAAGTGGTCCAGAGAACCAAAAAAAAAAAAAAATTACAAGGCTACCTTAGTCTTCTGAAGAACAGTTTGGATAAGGCTTTGTATTAGTATCAACTTACTACACCCTGCATAAAACCCCAAAAAAGTCACCTATATATAGCAGACCCGTAGAATTTTTGCATTTTACACCCACCCCCCTCCCCACAACTTTTTTGAAAAAAAAAGTGTGCACCAAACAAAGACCAAAGTATTTGGAACCAAATACTGCCTGCAAGCTAATCAAATATGCAGATGCTGTTTCTGCAGAAACTTGGTCACAGTTAATCAGGAGCTGCTTTCTGGTTTTAAAAGTTGGTTTTTAGACCAGGATTCCAAAGTTAAAACGGTAATCAAATAATTCTTGTGCAGTACACTGTAGCCCTACTGCTGAATTCCCACTGACTAGTCCTATGACCCCTCACTTGGTAGGCTTCTAGCTGTCCCTCTGTCACGTTGTCTCGTTATCTGGAGAATTTCACTGAAATCAGAAGTTGCCCAACTACTGCCTACACAATAGTCAGACACTTTCACTACACACTTTCTCCTGCCCAGTACACCAAATGTAGAGCGAGCTGAGGACCAGTTTTGGAGAAGCCAGTAACGGAGGCATTAGCTCTAGTTGGCCCAGCTCCGTTTGACAATAAGAAATGTACACACTAAAAACTTCACCACAAAAAAGCTCCGAATCTGCCAGAGTCTAGACCTTAACCAAAAACGTGGCCATAGCAAGTTACTGGAGAACATCCACAACCTTATTTTTGTTCTTACTTCTTATTTTACCACACTACTATGGTCTCACCTGAAAGAGTTTAAACAGTGTTCTCCCATTAGACGCTACCATCTCTAACAACATATCAAACTGCTGCCCTTCAGTTGTTTCACTATATGGAGCACAGAGGGCAAATGTAAGGAAGTCCAGAAGTGAACTAATAACTAGGGCACCAGTCCCATGATCCTGAAATATAGAAAACAAATAGTTTAGTACCGTCATGACCTACAAATCCCATTCTGTCATGTCTCTCCCCTCCCACCAACTTCATTCTAATTCGTAATCACTAGCCAGAGCCAGCCTTAGGTGGGGCAGCCACCCAGGGCACCACTGTCAGGGGGGCACCACACATGAGCAGCAGCACTCACACTGCCCCACCCTGGCCAATCCCCAAAAGGGAGGAGCGGTGCCCAGCCCATCCCCTGCCCCTAGCCACAGCTCAGGAGGATCTGGGTCAGACAGGCAGTGTGGCCAGCAGCAGTGGTGCCTATTTGCCTGCCTTGTGTACCATGTCATCCTGCCTCCCTGCTGGACCGAGGCCCTGCCCACAGCAGTGCTGCTGACTGGGGAAAGGAATACAAGTTTGCCCAGGGTACCATTTCCCCACCAAGGCCAGTTCTGTCAGTAGTATTTCAAGATAAAGAAGCCAATTTTCATACATCCAAGTGTGACAAAAATGCAGGCTCTTCCACAACATGCCACAAAGAAGAAAAAAAAAAAAGTCTAGAGCAGCAGCAAAATCTTAAGAATATAGTTGAAAGCAATCTGTGCTTCAAAGAATACCAAGCCCCTCAAGTACCACAGACTAAGAAAGCAGCAACTTCCTTGATATCTTTTTCCAAAAAGAAATTGTTTTAAAGCTAGGAACCCTTACAAAAAGGGAGTTAGAGCAGCAACTTCTAGAGAAATTAAAGTAGCTCTGCAAGACAAACAGCTTAAAATTCAAATCTGCCCAGCTTCAAAATGACTGGAAACTCATCTCAGGGTTAGTTATGGTTAAGGTTTTACATTTTAGTATTTCATATAATTGATCACTGAAGACTAGAGCAAGCACACTTAAAAACCTTTTGATTTTCATTACAGTAAAAGTTGCTCAGTCACTTACCACATGGGAATTAAATTTCTCTAATAAGTTCTCCAGAAACTTCTTTGAAGAAAGAAGGGAAGCTTTGTTCAGCTGCTCTTGCCGCAAGTCATAGTCATCATGCATGGGCTGAGAGAAAGAAAGTATTTAAATACAGTCATCCTTTAGCCCTCAAGACAAGAACTTTACAAGTCTTATACTGCAGCCATATCAGAAGACTTGCCACAAACTCATGACAAGTTATGGCAGCAAGTCCCACTTCAAAGTCGAAGTCAGTCAGGAAACCTAGCAGGCTAACTACATGAAGGAGTTGTAATATTCAAAATTAAAGAAAAGAACCTGTGAAAACTAGTTACAATACACTGCAATTTCCATATAAACCCACTCTTTGGGTCTCTGCAATTTGGGTTTTTTGTTTGTTTTTTTCTGACAATTAAATGAAGTCACTGAGCATAATTCCAGTTAATACTTACACACATGAGGGCACACAGCATGTCAATAGAAGCATGGGTTACTCCATCATTGTTCCTTTTAAGAGCTTTTACCACTTTCACTCCTAGTCGTTCCCGAAATCTTTCAAGATAAGAAGTACATTAGCAATAGCACTTGTATATTAGATTTCTTGGGGGGAGGGTCTCAGTTGGTCAATGCATCTCTCCCCCTTTAAAAAAGGTAAAGAGGGGAAATCCTCATATCCCCCTGTATATTTGTCTTCTTTCCTGACAGCTAGTAACCTACATTATGGACATATGTAAAGGAGCCAAGTCCAAGACGCTTTATTTTCAAGAAGAGTGAGCATATGAACTTGGCAAATCAATTACTGGCATTACATTATTTATCCTTTCACATATTCAGCATAATGTTCAGTTTATTGAATCCTCAGTAGCCCTCTAACATACATTCTCTGAATACAATAAGAGCTGAACTGACTTGCAGTTAATGACTTCTTCATAATGAAAGAATGAGAAGTTGTGTCTTGAAGGGAATTAAACTTCACATCTTAAAAACTTCTGAGCATTGTATACACCTTCAGCCTTTAAAGCTGATTAAAAAAAAAGAGTATGTATGGGAGAAATTTAAGTATAAATTCCTCCTAAATGTTAGAAGCACAGAACAGTTTTGAATACGAAAAAAGCCACCTACAGATTTACGTTAAATTTTAAAATTGTAGGTTTAAGAAGAATGAATGAATTCATAATTGCACCAGATGTAATATTCTCGTTTCTTTTCCTATTAAACAGCAATAGATACTATTTGCATTTACAAGACGACACTAAACTGGTTGAGCATACTATCAGAAAAGACCAAAATAGACACAGACTCAAGCAGAACCAACTCTTACTATTATAAATTAAGAGCATGACTATTTAGTCACTAATAAAGACAGCAGTTTATGCTACCAAAAGATCCAATATCAAGTTTCTACAACAAATTATTTTTTTATGAAATTTTTACTGGACCCTCTGAACCCCAGACTCTGACCAGAGTCAAAGTTGATCTTGAAACAAGGAAGAGCCTTTTTAGAACATTAAGGTTTACTTTCAGCATTTCAAACTAGGTAATGAGCTACTTACTTTGGAAGCTGAGTAAAAGCAAGGAAGCCAGCTTTTGAAGCAACTAGTCTTCTTACAGCTTGGAACTGGCTTTCAAGTTCTGTGTTAGATGCTGCAATGTCTCCTTCTTGAGAGAGTAATGCTGTTATGGCATTATTAATCAATTTCTCCTTGTTTTCTGAGAACAGGCCCTGTAAAGATGGAAGAGGTAATTAACAAAAGGCCTTTACATATTAAAAAGGATATCAACAGAAGATTAGGATAAAGGTTTACTCTTACATCTTGTGTTACTGCATGCAGAACACCACTGTACGAGATGTTAGCATTGAACCTGAATACAGCATCTGCAAAATTGCTATCTGCAGGGAGACAAAACCAGAAGCCATGAGCTCAGCTCAACATCTAACTCATTAATTACCATACCAACAAAAAGACTTTGTACTTTGCAATGCACAGTGATCTTGAGCACACTTACTGGGAGGGGCAGCTAAGAATCTGAGATGAAGGCTCTCTACTTCCTCATCTACAGGCATGCTAAGTAATCCCCAGCGCTGGCCTTTCTGTGTTGGAGTCATTTTCACACAAACATCTCTGTTGCCAGAAGCTCTCACTCCATCCAACAAGCTAGCCAACAAAGAATCTCTGGGGGAACAGGACAGGAGAAGGAGAAGAGAGAGAAAGATGAAAAAAAATGCATGTGTTTTGTATCCAATATATTCAAGTTTTAGTGAGGTTTTACCTGGTTAAAAAACAAACAAACAAAAACAAAAAACACAACAACCACCACCACACAACAAAAAGACCTACAAGTGACTGAATCATGAGTGCATGCTTAAAAAGAGAGAAGTTTTGTATTCTATCTGGAAGTGGAACTGGTTTACACACCGTGGACTAGACCAGGAGTGCTCAACCTCTGGCTCATGGGCCAAAATATAGCCTACCAAGCCATCACATCTGGCCTGCAGGGATCTCCCCTCGTCAGGAAATTTGGCAGCAGGGGAGAAGTAGCCATTAGTATGGCCACTTTTCCCTCTGCCAAATCTGCAAACCCTGCACTACAGGCTGGGCTAGGCCACAACCCCAAACCTCCCAGGTCTGGATTAGGGCTGGTCCACAACTCCTTCCTACTTTGCAATGGTGGGTTGACACCTGGCAATGCCCTTCCCCCACTCCCTCCCACTCTGCAAGGCATGGTTGGAACTTGGCTATGCCACCTTACCCTACAGGTCTTGGCCATAGCCCCTTCCTCCCAGTGGCCCAGGCCTTCCACATACCCTTCACAGGGGCAGGCCATGCTCCCTTCCCACTCCATGAGGCAGATCAAGCTCCTTCCCCCTGAAGGGATGAATTAAGGCTGGCTTGCACCCTCCCCCCTGTGGCATATAGCAGGGATGGGCAAGATGTGGCCCACCAGGCCATTATCTGGCCCATAGGGCCCCCTAAACAAGAAAAAAAATTTAGAAAAATTAATATACATCTGCCTCTGGCTGCCTGTCAAGCCCTTGATGGCTTGCTGAAACTCAGTAAGTGGCCCTCTACCCAAAATAACTGCCCTCCCCTGGCCTAGATGGTGCCCACCTGTGTCAGAATGGGAACACCAACTAGTTCTCATCTGCAGATGGACCAGGCACTGCCCATCTGGTCCACCAGACAAAAAGGGCTGGAGCGCCACTGGACTAGACAATGCAAAAAAAAAAAAAATAAATAAAAAAAAAATAATACAGCTTCTGGCATTTGTTACTTTCTTCATTACTCCAGCTACCCCTGGGTTCCACATGGCTCATTTTATTTAATTGTGCATAGACCATCCAGACTGTTGTGGACTGAAGAGGGATAGAAAGGAGGATGCATGACCCCTAAACATTCAACACTGAAAAAAAGTTTAAAATGAGCACAAAGTGAATGCCTAACCTTATTTCCTTCCTCTCCAATTCTAGTTCCTGTTTGATCAGGTGTCCTAAACAATATATTTGTCATCAATACAGTGAGACAGTAAGCTTTACATCTTTAATTGACCCATCTTCAATTGGATAACCTGTATAGCTGTAGGAGACCAGCTGTTTCTTTTTAGTGGTTAAGTCAGCAAAACAGTGAAGTATGGCTTGGACTGAAGTGGGCCCAAATCCTGCCTGTGAAAGTTATTTAAACTTCTTGGCCTACCCACAGATCATTCTATTAGTTTCACATTTGAAATGATTGGTAATCAAAGAATGCAAATACCTCTCTGTTGAAGAATACTTCCGGATTTGTCCCTTGATAAATTCAATGGAAAAAAGCTGTGGATTTTCACCATCGCATACTAGCGCAAACACCTGAAAAAATGAGTCCATGAAACGAAGACGTCATACGAAACATTTTTCTGTGCTACTTCAGGGGGTTGTTAATTTAACAATGCAAAACAGCAGGGAATCTACATTATGTTATTATAAGCAAACTGGGGTAGATTATTAAAAACAAGCATGATACTGTTAAAAGTTGTTAGACAACAGATTTACAATTATGCGTTCTGCATCTATAGAACATAGCTGACTGCACTAATATCTGTGCACACTGTCGGCCTATCAAAGGTCAGTGTCAACTTTCAGTTTCTCCTCTTGTTGCTCTATACGCAATAGGCAAGTGTTGGATTCCTTCTAAACAAAGCTGGGTGTTTTGGTGGGGAAGTTGTTTTGTTTTTTTTATTTAAAAATTGGGGGGGGTGGAAAAAGATAAAAACAGAAAGCCAGAGACCATGTTACCTACCTCTTCTAGAGGTTTCAGAGTCACAATATTATAGGTAGCTGGATCCCGTTCAACTAAACATGTTTCTGTAAGCGCCAACACTCTTCTTACAGGTTCCTTTAAGACCCAAAAGTGCATACATTAGATACAGAATACATGTTTTAGCCCCCTAAACATGTTACTTGCTCAATTAAATTTATAGATCTTACCAAGTGTCGTGGTGTTACTTTCTGAACAACAAATTCTGCTAAGGATGTGATGGATTCATCATTGCTGTATTTCCCAAAGCGAAGGTTCAAGTATTGCTCAAATTCTATAGGTTCTTTTCTTATCCGCAAGGAGATACCTATGTAATTACCAGCATGTTCTATTGCACTTTTGATAATTTCTTCCCTTTGCTCAGATGCAAACAGGTGCTGCAAATTTTACCAAAAGTTTGGTTTAATGCAATAAAAATGAGCATGGTGTAATTTTTATTTGCCTAGTTGAAAGTTTAAGACCATCAAAAGAAAAATCACACAGTACATGGCAGTCATCTTACTGGCAAAGAGTTTCATTAGAACTAGGTAATATCATTTCATAAGTAGCACACACTTTCCTTCTCACTCGCATATACCCATCAACATTAGCAATATTATCAGACTTCCAAGCAGTAGTTTAGTTTATGCCTTGGCTAACTGATTAAACAAGTGAATTTTCCCGAAAGAAAAAAAGTCTGAAGTATGATATTACATAGAAGTTTGAGCAGTATTCCCCATTTTCTGAAAGTGGTGGAATAATCAGGTTACAACCCTTTTAAATTACTGCTGACAAATTAAGTACTCAGGTTTAAGATAATTCCTATTGCAGAACTCTAGTTTCTTTGTGGGCCATTTCAGATGCCGACACTAGCTTCCAGTAAGTGGTTTTAAAACGCTTACTTTAAATATTGTACTACAGCAAGTTTAACGTTTAGCTTAAAGATTAGAAATCAAATTTAAGATACTGCCAATGCCAGCTACCACCAGTGGGTCCTTATTTTAAAAAGGAAGAGCTTGGGAAGGTGATATTGCCAAGCACATCATGTTTAAACAGCCTCAAAACTAGTTTGGTTTGCACTCTTCAGCATGCATACATTACTTCCCTGCAGAAGACAGCCAGATGTGCAGACAACCCCATAGGATTCAGAAAGTCTTTGATCAAGTGCCATCCAGGAAGAGCACACACCAACTGCTGAAGCTTCCTTAGCCTGACGAAGGGTTTTTGAACCCGAAAGCTTGCTTAACTATTCTCCAACCATTTGGGTTGGTCTAATAAAAGATATCAAATTCACCCAAGGAACCTTGTCTGCCTAAGTCCTTAGACCAACACAGCTACAACCCAAACCCCTGCAACAATTAACTGTGGCACTTTAACTACCCAGTTATCTAAACCAATGGTTCCCAATCTTTTCTACTGGGTCCCATTTGTAAAGATCCATGGCCTGTCCCAACCCACACCCCTCTGGCCCTGCTGGTGCCCAACCCCCTAGACCCCTGCCTCATTTCCCCTCCCCCCCACCCCACCTCCTCAGGCCACAACAAAGTGGCTTTGGCTCATGTTGGCAGCAGCAGAGCAAGTCCAGCCCTGGTACAGGCTGGAGGGACCTGTGCCACCCCCACTGCCCTGGGCTGGGGTTACTGCACCATGTCACACCACCTGGTCATGGCCCCTCCCACCCCCCAAGCAGCATCTCCTGGCCACCCTGCCCCTGTGAACACAAGCACTGGCTCTAGTGCCACCAGTTTAGCCACACAGCTTGCCCCTTCCAGCAGGGGAGAACATCTTCCCTCTGCCCTGCCACAGCTCATGACCCTTTGCAATATTCTTATGACCCACAGGCTGAGAAACATTGATCTAAACTGGTTTACGTCTCTTAAAACTGCAAGTTGAGAAGTACAGAATACAACAGACAGTTATGCAACAAATTTCACATTTTTATATGTATGGGCAGACTATGAAGTACTCACCAGTCTACTAAATCCTCCATAAATTATACAGAAGCCTCCCTGATAGTCAGAGAGATCAACGAAGCCTTCAATATTTCTGTAGTCATAGGAACATAGGACTTTGTTAGTTGCAGGATTAATTTGGTCAAACCCTCCAGGAGTTACTTCTAGAATCACAGGTTTTCTTGTGTCACTCCAGTGATGCTTATAACAGTTGTATCTCTATGGAAAGAATAGAACTGCTGTTAAACCCCTGAACAGGTATTTTTCATTTCTCCTGAACCAAACATTTGGCATGGTTATGTAGAAGTAATCTGTGTAAAAAAAAAAACAAAAAAAAAAAACAAAAAAAAAAAAAACACACCACACAAACCAAAAACACTTGTTTAGCAGGTTTCTGATGTTCTGGCAAAAAAAGATAAAACAGCAAAAACAAAACAAAAAAGAAAAAACCCACAAAAATAGTTAAATCCTTTAGAGTTCTTCCATTTAGCTGAAACACCAATTCATTGTAGTCTAAAATTTTAATCTAACGAGGAAAACAAATTACTCAAAGCAATCATGATTTTGAGCCATGGAAGAGAAAGGCAGTAATTGAGACAGTTATACTACACATTTTTAAAAAGGAAGGGTGGTATTTAATCCTCATTTCCTCTCTCTTGCATAAGTGGTAGATGCATAGAGTCACAGCATGTTCATCTGTAAGCTGCATAGGGAAACAAGGACAGCCATCTAAGAAACCAACTGTTGTGCAAGAAAAACCACTGTTCACTCTGCAACTAGCTAAAACTAGTTCAGGGAAACTTCAGTATTATCATATCCCAGGTTATATTCCAACTATAGCATCAGTTTCAGTGAAGGATCAAGTGTCAAAACCAACAAATGTCAAGAAAAAAAATGGCTTCTTCCATGTAAACACCACAAAATCATACAACTATTCAATCACCACCTTGTAACCCTTACTGAAGGTACTGTAAGTGACAAACTCAACCCCATATCCAATACAATACTGACTTAAACAGAATCCCCACCACATTCTAATGAGTTTAGGATGTCAATCATACTACAGAATGAACTTGTAAAGTATCCACTTCAAATTATAAGATGTAGCTTTAGGAATAGTAATGGGTTAGGGTTAAAAACAGCAGCATTAATAATCATGAAGGCTTGTTTATAGAAGACCAGCAATTTGACAAGCCATTGTCCAGGTAGATTAGAGCTTAGTTTTTTTAAACTGTTTCATTACAAACAAAAAGGTAATAATCCATTTTTTGAAGGCCGATTTAAGATGATGCATATCATAGGAAGAGAATATCCCCCTCCACAGCCACCTCCCTCCTTGGTCACATTCAAGTTAAGTATGTTGTGCCAGGAAATAAGCACCATTAGAGAGTTTAGCAGAGGATGGAGACCGATGACTAGATAAAAGTTAGGGGGTTTTGTATTTATATTTTTTGGTAAAACTGTTTGGATGAATCCTTCACTCCAGAGACAAAACTTTACTATATGCCAGAAAGCCAATATAGTACTCCTTACTTATGATATTAGAAGTCATCAGCTCCATCTTTCAATATTTTTGACCATTAGTGAAACATTAAACAAGGAATTCTAACCCTTTTCCCCACTTGCTTTACAGGTTATGAAGTGGGTGACAGATAGCAAGAGAGAAGTATATGGTAAAGTAAGCCAGAATTAAAATGGAGGCTCACAACTTTCCTGTATCTGTGTACGTCCGAGAAGATGACTACTTCTTTACACTTACGTCAGCTCTTATTTGCCTTTATGATGCTTAAAAGAATGCATGCTGTATAATGGCACTCACTATTGGGCACCTCTATTGCACATCATAAACAAATTTCTGTACAGTTTTGTAAATTTAAAACCTAAAGATTCCATTAAGAATTGAGGAGTTATTGATATTCTTTGTACGCCAGCAGTTGGACATTTTTCCATTTCCTATATACTACAAAGTGTTATTATTCACTGCAGCTAGAAATGAAGTCAAGTACCCAGGCATGATACCATTTTAGAAAAGACAGACAGCTGCATTTCCTTTAGTGAAAATACTGTCTTCGATATGCAATCAAATTGAAGATGAAATCTGATTCACTAAGGAGTCCTTTCTAAGAGCTTTGCCTGTTCTTCCTGCCCCCTCATCCTCACCCAAGGCCTACACCACTTAAGTTGCAAGCAAACATCAAGTCATGAGCTTCCACAGGTTGCTTCCACATTAGTTACTTGTCTCTGTATGGAAAGGTTCACTGTATGCACTTAGTGATTTTCATGTACCTTTTTTAAAAAGGAACTGCAAAAAAACTACAGGACTAGGCATTAAGTATAAAGAGACTTGCAGGCTTAAGCTTGTTCACAAAATTCTTAAAATACGACAGCTGGGGCACTTGGGTCAGATACTTACCCTTCCTGTGATTTTTCCTTCTGAGAAGTCTGTCCTGAATCTCTGTAAAACAGAGCAGTACGCTGGTTATAACTGAAATTGTAGTGAGAACAATGTTTTACTATATTAATTATTCTGAAGGGGGGGGAAAAACCCTCAGCCTTTCAAATGTCAAGCTATTTGCATTTAAGTCAGTTGTTCTCAAAAGACTTAACAATCACCCCTTATGTTTTAGGTAAAAATAAGTTCACTGGTAGCTTCCAACTCAATGGCCTTATTGCAGTAACAACTACAATATGCATATGACAACATTCAAATAACTTGACTGCAAGAATATGTATAACTGCCTTCTCTCATAATGCAAAACAACACCATTTAAACAACAAACACACACGGTTAACAGTAGTTTGGCAAGAGTTTAGGCATTTTCACTTTTTAATCTGGTAATTTCTTACCAATGTTTCCGTAAGGAGTTCAGTTCTGTGCTCTGTGGAAAACTTAAGCGTTTCAGACTTCTTTCCAGTCCCCTTACGAAACGTGAGGCTGAATTCTGTTCCTTGTCCCCTTCCAACAGGAGCAATACTACAGATATCACCATAAGGCCACTAAGGTACACAAAATAAAGTTTAATTACTGTGTTCCTGTTTCACAAAGTCTTTAATGCTTTTAAGCAATGAAGCTCAGTGTAGCTATGTGTAATATTTCCTATTTAAAAACTGTAACTAGAAATTCAAGAGCTAAAGAAGGAAAAGCTATTATTATTAGTTAGAAAGCAACAAATTAACCAAAGGTCAGAAGACTAAATTTGTAATCACTCGTCTCCTGCATCCCCAAAGGGAATCTCCCAGTAGAGGTGTTAAATTGCCCTGTGATCGATAACTTCTATCTTCCCTCATGTCCTACAATATGGACACAGTTTATTTTGTTAATTCAAAGACTCAGCTATGGCTCGGGTGACAATAACTCAGGTGAAATGTAGACTAATTTGAGATGATGATTACCCATACAGTAAGATGCAGCCAATACCATTTTTCCTGTTATGTTTAGCATTTCCTACAAAAGGAACCTAAGAGAGGCTAAAATAAGTGCATGAAATTAAGCATTTGTGATATTTTCCCCATAAGCAAAAAGGAAGTTACTATGTGGTCATTACCTGATTTGTAACTTCTAGTGTGTTTGGATTGTATGTAGTAATGGCATGGGTTCCAACTGAAAAGACTCTTTTGTACCTAAGGAAAGAGATAAGAGTGCTTGGTTTAACAAGGTTTTCTAAAATCTCAAAGCAGGGGGGAAGTTGAATATTTTAGTCCCTATTATAGTGGAAACCTTTCAAAAAGAAAAGAAAAAAAAAGAACACACACTAACTTTGCATTCAACAGAATAGGTGGATAAGTTTACTAGTATACAGTTTTATTCTTTATTCATTCTACTCCCCCTGCTTGATTTACTAGCTATTAAAAAAACCAAACAAAAAAAAACCCCAGGAAGAGTGTAGCAAGTAATATTTTAAAACAGCAAAAGCCCTTTTTCCCCCCTCCCTGTACCTACACAGATGCACAGAAAAGCCTAGTCAGTGTACTGAATTACAAGACTCAATGCTCTAAACAACTCCCTCCCCCCCATTGCAAGGTCAACGTTGTACTAACATCCAATGACTGCCAATACGGAGAAGTGGAAGAGAAAGAGATGACTAGTGTTTATATCTTCAAGCTAGTTTAAAATGCAGAGGGAGCCAGAAGTGTTGATCAACAGCAATGATCAAATGCTCTTCTCTTGCGAATGTATAATTTATTTCTGGCCAAGAAAAAAAGTGTAAAAAAAAAAAAAAAAAAAAAAAAAAAAAAAACCAAACAAAACCAACTTGTGTGTGGTCCAGAGAAAAGCCAGTTGGAACAAGTTTACAGCAGGTAGTTGTATATGGCATCTGTTCCAATACTCCTTTCCCAGGATTTTACTAGTATCAAATCTTAACTGGAAGTATGACAGATACGTCTGGGATTTGAGTTCTATTAGGATATTTAGATTATAGCCTGCATCACCACCCATGTATAAGCTTTAATACTAACTGCATAATACATGAACTTTTTAAAAAAAGTTTATCCTAACTTCAAAAGATACCAATATTTCTTGCTTAAATATGAGACTATTGATAAGGCTATGGAACTACATTTCAAGGGTGTTTATGGATGCTAGATAAAAGGCATCTCATCTGCTTAAGTCTGTTGAATATAGTGCCTAAAGATATGGTGGTTCTGTTAAAGTTACTTTCAGGAAGTCAACATTGTACAGTGTCAATTTAAGACTCTTGAAACAGGGGAGTCATCTTACACTAAGTAGCTGGCAAGTCAGTCACTTACGTGATATTCTTTGATTAGTCTCACATTTTTCAAAGAACAGCTCTGAAGAGTCAAACAACTGCTCCCGAGGTTTTTCATTCAAGATTGTTACAGTCTTGCTTACTGGTTAGCTAATATGTTAGAGACTGGCACTCAAAAGTCTGTTTTTCCCCTTGGTCAATTACTATTACAATGTTCAAGTCTTTGGACTCAAAGACTTGTTATATTGAACAAACAATCCAGTACTATTTACCAACTTAAGTGACTAAAATAGCTTAATTTTTGCATGCTACAAAGAATTTTCAGTTTGAAAATGCAGGTTTACAAAATATTTGGAAGCTACATTAAGGGAGGAAGGGGTGAAGTAATATGAAGTTCAATGCATTCCTTACATTTTAGCTAAGGGGTGAGCAAAATGGTGGATCTGGCCAGTAGCCAGACTCCAATTTCCCAGCAGCTCCTGCTCAAATTGCTGCAGCCAGTTTCCATGGAGACCCCAGTATCAGCAGCAGCATGAAGCCCAGTTTCTGTGGAGATTGCAGCAGCACTGGCAAGGCACACAGCTGGGTGGGGAGATGCTCCGGGGCCAGGATCTTGCAGCAGTGACAGCTTGGTCCAGAGCCAGACTAGAGCTACTGTTGGCTGCTCACATGCCTCTGCTCTTTTTTTGGGAACATCTAGACTGGCTCCTTTTCAGTTAAATTTTTTTTCCTACAGACCCATGTCACACTCTTCAGTGATGAGTGTGGAAACAGATGTGTCTATACAGACCTTTGGGTGATACTATGACCCAAATTTAGAAGTAGCAAAAAGAAGGAAAGGGAAAAAAAAAAAAAAAAAGAAGAGAAAAGTAGTGCCTTCCAGGTTCCCCTTTTTTTTTTTTTTTTAAATATGAGAAAAAATGGGTACTACCAGCTGCCCAGTCATAGATGGCATCTTAAACTGTTTCCTTAGACATGAAGACCCTCTATAAGCAGAGCATCAAGAGAAGGAAAAGCACATTTAAATCCAATACTGCTTTTGAGATGTAAAAAAAACAAGTCCCTTTTTTACAAAGAAAATTTCAAGTTTAATTAAGTGACAGATTCTTGAATTCTACCCATCTCCAACTAATCTTGAGTCATAAGAAGAAAGGCAGTTGGACAGTCTTCATTAAACATCAACATCAGGAAAGAAACACGTATGGATCACTTCTAACATTCATTCCTCATATGTAGTATGCTACCTGTTTGTGAAGGCAAGTAAGTTGACAGTTCTCATTACACTGAACACTCCCATACTGGATTCTGGGTCTAAGGGTATCCATGCCCCACTTCCAATTTGAAGTTTTCATAAAAGCTAGTAAAAAAATCACTGATCAAGTTACTGAATTCTTAGCAGAGGTTCTCCCAAAGTAAGTTCTGCCTATATTTCATACAAAATAGGTTGAGAATTACATTTGTACAATTAAGTGACATTTCAGAGAATAGTGATGATAATGACAACAACATATATACACATGACAAGACTGTACAGCAGTTGCACATAGTTAAAGCTACTGTAGTTGCCAGTTTAGGTAACCTTCATGTATGTTATTGAGTATCATCATTAGTTACAACACTAACTCCTGGTTATAGCCTCAGTACAGCCAATTACCGAAATACATGGCTAACAAAAGCTTGAATACAGACCTAAAAAAGTATCTGTTGTATTTTCCAAATGCAACTTGTTTTCAAGTATAAATATGCCATTTAGCCTATAAAATGCTAGAGTGCCTACACAGAAAAGTACATTAGTTAGGTGGCACAGACAATTATCATATTCCAATTCAGGCATACCTGCAAAAGCAGCTAGTAAATCAAAAGCTGGTGTAGCATTTCAAACAGAGATTCTGATTAATGCAACTCAGCTGCAAAAGCCATCATTTATTCTCTCACTTGAGACAAAAATAGAAAGATCCAAAAATATACCTCTTGTATCCTTAGGAAAGGATCCCTGACCTATCCATGGTTCGAGTTTATTTTATTCCCCATTTCTTGAGATGGTAGCTTGCCCTGCTTGCAGCATGTTTCCTCCCATGACTCACTTACATGCTTATCAGCTTTATTCCATTGACATGGCCTGCCCAAAAAGATCTCCAAGCTCACCCCCAAAGCCTCCTGTAAAAAGGGAAAGCCAAGGTGCCAGTTTCTTTAAAACACCAGTCATTGTGACTATGTACTTGGCAAACATGTTAGAGGAATATACACTTATCTTTATACCTTACTTTTCCTTTGCTTAAAATGTATAAAACAAGTGAGCTGGAGACAAAAGTTGGAAGCTTCTGAACAAGGAATCATAACCAGCAGAAGCATTTAACGTTTACTATAACTATTTTTCCATTGAGCAGAACATTGTCCCAGTCAAGATCAAATGGAGGCACAATTAACCCTGACCATCAGGAGTTTTCTGGTAGGAAATGCCAGCTTCAGAATCAGTTTCCCCTACTATTATATAAAGTATGTAGGCTTTTAGGCTATGGCATAAAACTGGTGCACTCAGGCTTTTGCCTCAGGGTTGTGGATGGAAAGATTCATAGATGTTAGGGTCGGAAGAGACCTCAATAGACCATCGAGTCCAATCCCCTGCATAGGCAGGAAAGAGTGCTGGGTTTAGATGACCCCAGCTAGATGCCCATCTAACCTCCTCTTGAAGACCCCCAGGGTAGGGGAGAGCACCACCTCCCTTGGGAGCCCATTCCAGACCTTGGCCACTCGAACTGTGAAGAAGTTCTTCCTAATGTCCAGTCTAAATCTGCTCTCTGCTAGCTTGTGGCCATTATTTCTTGTAACCCCCGGGGGCGCCTTGGTGAATAAATACTCACCAATTCCCTTCTGTGCCCCCGTGATGAACTTATAGGCAGCCACAAGGTCGCCTCTCAACCTTCTCTTGCGGAGGCTGAAGAGGTCCAGGTGCCCCAGTCTCTCCTCATAGGGCTTGGCCTGCAAGCCCTTAACCATACGAGGGTTATATGGTTGTGGATAGCTTCTACTAATTTCCCTAGGTCTTGCCACAATTCAAAAAACAATTTTAAGAAGTTCAGCAGTGTTTTTAAAAAGGCACAGAATTAATTTGAGTAACTTTTTTTTGGCCGATACATCACAAGATGCCACTGAAGTTTAAGACTAAAGTAGCCTTATCCATCAGAAGTTGGATTTTGCTTCCAACACTGCTCAATTTTAACTGTTCTATCATCAAAAAAACAAGACTGGTTATATCTACCCAAGAACGTAGAGAAGCGGCTAGAGAGCGAATAACCCGAGGCAGACATTTCCAACCTGGCAGAAGTGTCCCAGCCCTTCCTCCAAGAACATCAAGTCTCAGTTACCTTCTGCTTTGAGTTACCTAAAGAATTTCAGCTATCCAAGGTATCTAGCTGTGTAAAGGTATACACAGATTAGTGTGGTGGCTAGAGGCAGCAGTTTGTATCAAAGATTGTCCACGTAACCGATTGCCTGTAAAGCTTATGTTTAGAAACAAACCAACCAACAGATCTGTTCCACGTGACCAAAAATAAATGCTTTAATTCTGCTTCTCAAGCAATTACAGCAAGTTAGCATGCCACACAAGCCATTTTAGCATTTACCGATTTGTTATACTGTCACCTTGATCCACTGGCAATTCAAGATACGCTTCAGTTGAAGCTCAAAATGCTTGTTACAGCAGTGAAGAATATTTACCTTCTTAACTTAAAATAAAAACTAAACAAAAAAACTTTGTTGTATAATTTAAGAAGCTTGTGGTGGAGGGAGCATAAGTTTTTAATCAATTCATCTAGGAGACTGTATGAATGGAAGGGGAGTGGGACAATGTCAACTATTCTACCTTAAAAAAAGGTACTGCTTTTTCCTTCAAAACACCAATCCCACCCCCCACCCTTGCAAAAGAGAAAAAAGCCGTGTTAGTCTGAAGTCAAGCAGAAGGCAAGATAAGAGACAAAACTAACGGACAGTTATTCTCTGGCTTGATGTTACACACTTGTCATCACCAAAAATTCCAAACTAACAGCTCTTCTAGAACAAATCACAATTTAAATACCACCAGTGATCAGCATCTGCAAAACACACTTGGAATGAGACTTGTGTCATTTTTAAATGCAACTGCTTTTGATATCCGTAAAAATCTACGTCCTTAAAATGCTTTTAACAATTTAAGCTTACCTTAGATTAACTGCAAATCTCAGCTGCCTCCCTATTTGGAACAACAGTTGCAGAATGTTCTGCTCAAACTGAAGTCCTGTAACAGAGCTCCAGCAGTACAGATGGAAGCTCCAGTTGCTAAATTTTGTACAAATTGGAGTCTCACAAAACCAAGTTTAAAAAGATCTCATTTGTCAAAATTAAGAGCATTTGTTAGGCTACTAAGAGTCTAACAGAACAAAATACATGAAAACTAAAGCTAACCTTCTAACATACTAAGGTTCTCCTCCTACCCAATTCAACTCTGCTCTGAAGTATGGAGGTACTCAAGTTCAACTATTCTTCATTCAGCTCAATGTTAGACTGTTATGATCATTCACGATGCAATATAGATTTCCTTCTTACCTATGGATAATTTCATTTTAATTCTAAATTTCAGAGGTAAGCCACTACCATTGAGGCCTGAAGGCAAAAGAAACTGGCATTTGTTGAAGTTGCAAGGGAAAGGCTGGAACTGCTCGAGCTTGAATTCACTGGATAAAAGGAGAGATCCAACAAGGGGTGGGAGGAGGAAGGAACTTTGAGAAAAATCTTAGCTGCCAGCCTTTCCTTGGCCTTCTTCCACAGACCCATGATATTGGTTCACTTAGGGAACCATGGTTCATCTCTTTCCTAGTGATCCCAGCCTCTACCCAAGGAGTATTGACATTATCTGGGAGTCAAAATTACCACAAGCTGTCAGGCTTCAACATTAACCTGTCTCATTGCTTATTTCCTTGCAGAGCACCAGCATAGAGACGGACTCCCCAAGTAGACAGGAGCAACAGTATGACGCTAATTTTACATTATCCAAATTAATTTTGACAATTTAAAAACACACAAGTACTAGCAACTATCTGATTGTACTACAGATGAGTGACACTATAGAACAAAAACCCAGATAAATAAAAAGTAGTCCCTAGACAGGTAGCAAAATTCTGTTGTAAAGATCCCCAAAATTAGGTGTGGAGGGAACTACATACGATCTAGTCCAGCCCCCTGCTCAAGGGAGACTCATCCCTAGCTAAGCCGTCCCAACTATCTAGCCTACTTTTAAAAACATCCAGGGATAGATAAATTGTGAAATCTCCAGGCAACCTGTTCCAATGCTTGAATACCCTCATAGTCAAAAAAGTTCTTCCTCATGTCCAGCCTAAGTTTCTTCTGCTGTAGCTATGGCCACAGAGAAGAACCCATATCCATCCTCTTCAGCATCTTAATCCCGCTACAAATTCCAAACTGAAAAAAAAAAAGTTGCCAATCAGTTCTCCAAGGCAGAGCAGTATTTCAGGAACTCTCCTCCCCCACCAAGTTCAGGAAAAAGTCTGATGTTGTCCCAAAGCAGAGAGACAGCTGGTTTTCTAAACCTACTTATTCCACAGTACTGTTATAATTTAAAAGTTGAAAAAGGGAAGGCACTGCCATCACAATGCACGTACAAGTACAGGGGTGAGGAGGGGACAGACTTACGCCTTAAATTAAAGACAAAACAAAAAACAAAAACAAAAAAACAAAAAAAACAAACCAAAATGGTTTCCCAAAAAGCTACTAACGTTCTCACTTGAAACTTGGTACACTGAAGAACATCAGTTCAAATAGAGTTTAGGTGGAAATTTGAAAACATCACTTACTGAAGTTGCAAGCATCTCCAAACATTTAAGTATACAGCATGAACTAGGTAAAGTACATGACAGCTGTGTGTTAAAGGACTTTTTTTTTTTTTATATCTGGTACTACCACAGTGGAAGACTGAAAGAGACTTTCCCCAGAGAATATGGGGGGTGGCACAGCACACAGGTACTGAGTGATGTCTGCAACAAGTCAGACCAGGTCTTTCCGGAATTAAAGAAACTTGAAGAATAGTTCAGTCAGACTTGCATTGTGTAATAAATTAGATACACACAAGTGGCTTATCCCTTCAATACACATTTGTGCTTACAAATAAAAGCTCTTCCTACATATTTAGTAACAGTCAGAGATTAAACATTTTCATAGTAAGAACAACTAGACCAAGTTCCATAACCTTACTGGCAGCTCACTTTTTCCTAGTCAAATGGACTAATCCAACCTGTTATTGAAGTAGAGAGGAATCTAGTTATGAAAGATTTGTGAGGGCAGGCTGGACAGGTGGTTTTATCATCAGGAACTGACACATGCCTTCAAGCATTTGTTACACCAGAAAGAGAACTCTGAAGTTATGCATTATTCAGACCAAAAAACAGAGTGAGAATTTTAAAGACATGACATGACAATAGCATACATTGCTATGAAACAAGAATAGATTTAAACTACTTACTTTCCTCTCCATGAATGTTTTGTTGTGTAGAAACAAGCCAGATCTTTATTCTCCCTGATTATGTTCATTTTGTGCCAAGACCTGAAACAAAATAGACTTCCGGTTAGTACTTACGATCTTGATTTAAATATCATCTTGTTACTAACCATCAGTATGCTCCAAGATGAGTTTCTTTATCTTATAGAGAAGACAGTTGAACATTTAAAAGTTTTGCCTGAGATAGAACATTGTTTAAGTTTAGCGAATTCAGAGGATAAAAGAAGTTTCTCTTCATTGACGGAGATTAAATATTCCTTGCTTTTTCTTGTCAGGATATTATAGGCTGGCAACATCTTGTTATTCCCATCTGCTTGATATCAGGATTACTAGGTATGCATTCTTTTCTATAGAACTTTTTTTGTTTAATAACACCCCCTGCAAAGGAAGTTGAAAGTTAGCGCAGTTTTCAGAAGATTGAGTAAAGCTGGTCCTAGTATCTATCTCTCAGATTTCCTTAAAGGCCTAAATTAGATATCAGTCTGGTTATATCTGTAATATCACATGGCTATGAAACAGTAGGCTAGAACAGGCAGCTAAAGCCTTTTGCAACTAAACTGAGTTCCCACCTCTGGTAACAAGTCTTGCTACAAGCGTTGGGGGGGAAAGGAGCCAGATTTATTAGATAAAACTAAAGTCTGTACTATTTTTACCAATCTGAACATATTTGATGTTAAAACTGCTAAAAAAATTAGAGCAAGTTTAGTGATATCTGTGAGCTGGCCAAATTAAATATTACATTTGCTCTTCAAGTACTTGCTGAACTAAAGTTAAATCTACTAGTCATAGATATGCCAACTATTAGGCATCACCACAGTATTATGGAGATACTGGACATGGTAAGCATCTTTTCACCGATAAAACAAACAAACAAACAAACGAGACATTTCTAACTTTGTAGCCAACAAGTGAAATCAGGTTTAAAAGCTGAAGTAAACCAGAAGCATTCTGATTTTACTGCATTTGAGTTCTCTTCCATTGTAATTTTACCTAGGGATGCCCAGACTCAACGAGCTAAATACAAACTGCAGAAGTAAATGTCTCGCTTTGAAAAAAAAAAAGTTTGAGCCAATTGTATCCCCATACCTGCGGTTCCAAACTGTTTCCTTCTGCAACACAAAAACCCTTATGTCTTCTTAATAAGAAAAATATGCATAAAATAGATATGTTACTCAACTGAAAGTGCAGCAATGCAATTCAGCCCAATTTGCCTAGATTATGTATGCAGATGTTAGAAGTAGATGCAATATTAAGCACTGCAAAGTAGGGTTTTTTTGGTAGCAAGGCACACTTCATTGCATCTGAATGCATGTGACAAAAGATACTCCTTGTCTTCATTAGTTCCCTTCTCAATTCCTCATTTTCTTGTCATCCTTCAGTTATTATTGGTTTAGATTAGGAGGCACCAGGCAGGAGAGGGTAATCCTATGTATTTTCAAACTGAATACACAAGATATTCTGTAGCCATGATCGTAAATTGCATGGGACAACTTGTTACAAAAGTAAACTAAGGTAGGGTCACAATTTAAGTGGGGTAAACTACACTACACTTTCCATAGGTCAAGTGTATGACATAGTAACTAGTCTGGTGGGTTTACAGCCTATTTTGCCCCACAATAAAAACTTGCTCTCGCCTAAATTTAGAGCCATATCCTTTTAGGAGACTGAAAAAAGAATATTAAAGTGTACTTGAGATACAAACGAGGTGGACTAATATTCAGGTCTACTAGATAGCTAAAACCCAAACAGGATCAGTACTGCAGTATAATTAAAAGGTAGATTCTGAACTAAACCAGCAATGTTCCATTCACAATTCCCATTGATATTAACGGAGTACAGCATTATACATCAAGTTGATGCACCCCTGGCAATTCGTGTAGCCCAAAAAGCTCTTGTTTACCAAATAAGAAATTCTGACTACTTCAAAAGTTTAATCTTATAAGTACAGCTTAAGAAACTAATAGTTCTTGAAACTGCTCCTGGACAATTCTTAATACGCATTTTTGTATTCAAGAATCCTTTGACAACACTAATGAAAGTCAGGATATGAGAAGTGAAAGATGAGTTAGTGAACTGAAGACTGACAGTCACAATTCATTTAGACTTTTCTGGTTAATGTCTCAGCATGCTACAACTTGAATATTGTGCTTTTTGTCATTTTAAATGAAAGCAAGAAAAACAACCGTGAGTTGCCAATATGGATGTTCCCTACTAGGTTAGTTTTTGTTATTTTTAATTGCACCCAAGTACTAGAACAGTTCTTTGGAGACAAGGAGCCTTTTTCATAAGAACCAGCTCCCAAAGTTAGAAGAGGTACCTCTACATCAGCTACAACTCCAAAGTAAGACCATTTGGCTATAATACAGCCAAATTACTTGTCAAGTTGCCCTTTAAATGAAAAAGTCAGAGTCACTTAAGCTACATGATGTTAAGCTTTCAAGCTTTATTTAGTGCTTCAAGATAGGATTTCCACTGCATAGGCTAGCCATGAAGACACAGTAATCCAAGATTTAGCAATAAGTGAGATTCACGTACATCTTCCCTAAAGCTTGAAC